TGGAATGTGAAAGAAATAGAAGACTCAAGCTTATCGTCAAAGTTTTTGGTCTTAGCAACTAGAGCTTTGTTAACCGAGATAGGGAAGGCTGTGCGGAGAGCCGATTATGAGGAGAATATCTAGAGCTCAGTTTGGGACAGGTAAATTTGAGATGGTACTTAGTGTGCCTTTAAAAAATATTTACTGAGCTGATGAATGGCAGGCATTTGGGCTCTCCTTTCCACTGTACTAGTTATTCCTGCATCTAGAGCCCTTTTTGTCTCACCTCTGCTTATCTTTGGGTTTGTGGAGGGGTAATTGCCCGGCTTGTGCTTGCAGTGAGGTGAATCTGGGGGTCCAGTTATTCCATATACAGACATGAACAGTTATTTTTTAAAATCATGAGCCCACACCCAGCCTCTTTCTGAGACCTAAGATTTCTCATTATCATGTAGGAAAGATGGGCTTGCTTCTCAAAGTAGATCTCCTTTTTGAAGGTAGACTAGTTAAGTGCGGAAATGAAGGGGCAGGAACATGTTTTAGTTGATCCATGTTGGTTTAGGTAGATTATTAGAGTGGATCAGGAGAAACATGGAATAAAATGTTGGAAAGAATTTGGAACAGATGTGGTTGGAAGGAAAATAACTGGGTGTTTATCCATAGGGGGAACATAAAATGTTAACCAATAGGAGATTGCTATGATCAGACCCTTTCTTTGGTAAGATTATTTGAGAGGACTTGAAAATGGATTGAATGTTGGCACGAAGAGAAATACCTGATATTACTCTGGGATTTGAGGCTCTGCTCTGATAAGGATTTTTTTGGATTCTATGGCCAGATATAGGAGAAGGAGAAGGAGAATATAACTTGGGAAGTAAAACAACAGCAATTTAAGATATATTACATTTAGAGTGAATTTCTGGTGGAAATGTCTAGTAAGAATAGAAAATGTGAAACTAGATCTTTGGAAGAAAGAGCTAACAATAAAGTCCCAACAACAATGATTAAAGAACATTATGTTCTGTGATCATTTCCTCTGGTTTAATAAATTTAAAAGCAAACACATTGTGGCTTTTAAATTTCTTTTCCATGTTGAGTAAATCCTTGTGCAGTGACATCATTTTTACATTTCGTTCCCAAAATGTAAGATAATTACATAATATCTGTTTGTATTTTTGTGGGACTGTTATAAAATCTTTTGAGCACATTAAAATCTCAACATCATATTGAGCAAATAATTTGAAGGAAAAGTGTTTTATTCCCTCTAGGATAGCAAAGTACACATTTTCTCAGATCTGTTGTTATAAATTTTGTCACTTTATTTTCTTAGACTTAACTAGCTGGTGGTATAGTAAGGTCTACAAGAGCCAAACTCCATTCTCTTCATCTAGGTAACTTACGTGAGACTAAAGGAAGACTCAGCAATGTTTTAATGTCTACTTTTAAATTTAACATTTAAAATTATAAGCATTGTAAAAGCTAATAATAAATTTTAAAAAATAGATGTGTAAGAAATGAGTTCTTACTTTCTATCTTTAATTTAATTTCCCAGAAGTTAATGTTGAGTAATAGAGTATAATATATTCTCTTCAACAAATTTCTATGTATAGAGAAAAAACACTAATATCCGTTTTTATTTTAATGATATGAACTTAACTACACATACTGTCTTGCAACTTTTTAAACTGAAAAATTGGCATAAGCATATATTTCTTTACTAATGTTCTGGGAGAAACAAGATAGCCATGGATATTAATACTTTATTATTATTTTCCTTTGAGAAGTTTTCAAAACACTCTTAAAAAGATAGTAGGGCATGCCCTAACCGGTTTGGCTTAGCGGATAGAGCGTCGGCCTGCGGACTCAAAGGTCCCAGGTTCGATTCCTGTCAAGGGCATGGTTGCTGGCACATCCCCAGTGGGGAGTGTGCAGGAGGCAGCTGATCGGTGTTTCCCTCTCATCGATGTTTCTAAACTATCTATCCCTCTCCCTTCCTCTCTGTAAAAAATATATATTTTTAAAAAGATAGTAAGGCCCTGCTGGCATTGCTCAGTGGTTGAGCATCCACCTATGAACCAGGAAGTCACAGTTCGAATCCTAGTCAGGGCATATGCCTGGATTGCGGGCTGGATCCCCAGTGTGGGGCATGCAGGAGGCAACCAATCAATGATTCTCTCTCATCATTCATGTTTCTGTCTTTCTCTCCCTCTCTCTTCCTCTCTGAAATCAATAAAAATATATTTAAAAAAACAACAACACATATTTATCATTTAAAAAAAGAAGATAATAAGAAAACATTAAAGAATCACTAAATTGTACCTTAAGCAACATTAGTAAATATGAACATTAATTTGGCAACACTACTAAAATGTGATTCTGAGATCTTTAGTCACTTTTAAACCACACATGCTTGAGTTACTCTGTGTAGGCCCCCTTCAAATTGGAGGCTATCTGATTGGCCAAAGTCTCTCTTAAAATCTGTCTTCTTAATTCTTAACTAGTCTGAGGAAATTTCTAAAGGCATCATTCCCAAGAATTTGAGAGAAACAATATTGTGTTTTATCTTTTCAAAGCAAATCAGCCTTAAAAGCTGTATTAATGCATTTGGCCAGCTAGTAGAAGAGGAAGCTTTATAGGCTCCTACAAGACCTGAGGAGATGTTAAACATCGTATGTAATTATCTTTTACAATGTCTGTGCTGAAAGAATAGAACAGGGGTATGAATACTTGGCAAATGTTTATGTTTTTCTTTAGAATAATACATTATGAGATTAAGTCAAGCTAGATGCACACTTAGTCAATACTTGGCAAATGTTTATGTTTTTCTTTAGAATAATACATTATGAGATTAAGTCAAGCTAGATGCACACTTAGTCATGTGAAGACAGACCTTTTTGCCCCCTATTCTATTTTCTTGGATTAGATTTTTACATAACCTAAGATAGTGAGTTAAACATCAAGTAACATATGGATAATCATATTGGTATCTTGGAACTCTGTTGGGATTCTTGCTTTCTGCAAACTACAACTTTTACTGCATAGAGGTTCTGGCCAGTCTTAGGTAGTGTGAAGTAAAAATGGTGGGTGATTTTTACACATCACATCATTTTATTTACTAATGACAATACTGATTGATCTCAGAATTATTAAAAATCAGAATGTAAATTTAATAAATATTAGACTCATAATTATAAATGAAATATTTTAATAGTGTATATTTGATTTATTTTAATATTTCCTATTACTGCAAGCAGTAACAATCCTATTAGAAACACTAATTGCAGAATTGTAGTTTGGAAATCTATGTTACATTATGCCCAGCTCTGAACATAAATTAGATCATATGCTTTTTAGTTTGTTTGTGATTTGTCATGAGCATATGATTAATACCTACATTTTAATTTACTTTTTTCACTGATATCCAAACCTCCTTACTTCTGTGATAAGTCATTTACATATCTCCATGGTATCTTCATCTTCCTTTATCTCCTCTCCTCATAACAGCCTACCTGACCTGTGTTAATTGGTCACCACAATGAGCTTGAGGATTTTAAATTTGTTTTATGTAACCCATTCTCTCTGACAGGGGCCTCCAGAACCACTGCCATTTTCTTGCATCTGTGCTTTAACTTCAGCCCATATCCCCCCTAATATATATTGTTGTACATTGGTTCAATTAATCTTCAACCAATATGTTTTTTCCTCCTTCTCCATTTGATTTCTCAAACAACCCTTATCTTTTGCCATATCTTTATTTTAATGAAGATAGTGACCTTTATAGTTAAGAACTATGTAGTTAGATAAATCTGGATCTGAACTCTGCCTTGTCTTTTTACTAGTTCTATGATCTTGGGCAAGTTAATATTTTTAATTTCAATAACTCTATTTCCTTAGCTATAAAAGACAACTCTCTAAGGTTATTGTGAGAGTTTGAAACTGAAGCACTTGGCACTGTCCTTGGCACATGATACTCAATGACCACTGGGTAGTCACAGACAGGTGATTCCTTATCTATAACCTTTAGGTTAGATGTATTTTTAGAATTCAGAATCTTGTGGATTTTAAAGGGTGTGCATATTCCTTTTATAAGATCTCTATTAGGATGTTAGGCAGCATTCTTAAACAAAATGATATTTCTGTAGGGAAATACTTCTGTATAATTTTTATATAGAAGTATTAGCCTCCCATCATTACCCATCCATCACTTCAAGTCAGATATTGCCACCGAGCTATAAAAATACTCATTTTTCAGAACTGTTGAATTTTGGAATTATGAATAAGGGATTGGGATTCTGGAAAGTAAAAGGAAATTCTGCATTTTCTTATTGTGAACTATACTATTCTCTCATTTTTACTATGTGGGTGTTTTCTAGATCTTACAAACATGGGCCACAGATTCTTTTTCTTATTTTTGTTACCATAACTCACTCTCCTCCCAGGTGCCCCTGCCTGGGGATATCACTCCAGGTATCTTCTGAGGATATCACTCCAGATAGCTTCTGAGAATTAAAGGAATGAAATAGAAAGAAATGGAATGCTTTCAGTATCAGTTTCCTCTTTGGATATTGGATATTTAAGTCACATTGAGAATTATATTTTTCTGTTCTCCAAAATTTGTTAGAATGCGAAGCATATGATAATATCAGGAGAGAAAAAGACATCAAAATTTTTAGTGTACATTCTGCCTTTGTAGTAAAATTTGTGATCTCTTAAATATTTTAACTCAGAAGATATTTAAGCAAGATTTATAGTAAGATATAATATACTAGCAGTTTGAGACTATATTAAGTTGTTTTATTTAAATACTTACAGGTTTTTAGAGAAATTTATATTGTCATTTTGACTAGTTGACATTGCTCTTTACTTCCACTAATGACTACCTATATACATTTTTATTCCATTGCTTTCTATTTTATATTGATTTGGGGGACTTGGAATGAGACTAAAAGTTGCAATTCAATCATACCTAGTAATACATAATTATTATTCAGAATTTATTCTAGTATTTATTTATTTTTTAGTGTCCTACTGAAACCAAAGCAACATTCGGGGTCCACCTTAAAATAGTAGGAGACTGGACAGGTATGTAGAACATATTGTTTTAAGATACGTGCTTTGAATATAATGAATCATACAATAATTTGTGTCTAAGTAGCAGAATTGCCAGCATGTATAGAAATGTATATATGTTCTTAAGCTGTTGTTTGTTTTCTTTACTTATACAGTTTTGATATTTATGTTTTCTTCTTATAAGATGCATTTTTGAATTAGAATATTTCAGATATTAGTAATTTTTATTTTCAAATCTTCACAGCAGCTTTATTTGTAATAACCAAAACCTGGAAACAACCCAAATATCTATTAACAGCTGAATGGATAAAAAAACAATTGTGGTATACTCATATAATGGAATAATACCTAACAATACTAATGAATAAACTATAGCTATATGTAACAAGATGGATTAATCTCAAAATAATCATGGTTAATGAAAAGAGCCAGAGTCCCCATGCCTTAGAAAGTACTGTATATTGCATAAAATTCTAGAAGATGTCATACATTTCAATAATGTATTATTCATTGTGTTTGCAAATCACAGGTTTCCACCTACTTGACAGATGTACTGGCAATAGTGGGAACACTGAACTATTTTTTCCCTTTGTTTTAGAGAACATTATTTTAAAATTGGTGGTTGGTTTTACTCTTAAAATAATTGACACTTAGGGTTGATATCACACAAATCTTCCAGTTCTTGCATGACCTTTCCTGTGGTATCCACCTACTACATCTCTGAAATAGTGGTCATTCTTAATAGCAGGCCTATTGGTGGTGGTATTTTACTCATTTGTTCAATAAATACTTTTTTTTATTTGAGAGGTTATATTAAGAGTTCTATGTAAATAAAAGAAACATTCATTCTTAATATTCCCTTGACTGTTTAGGTTGATTCCTCAGAGGAAAAGATGCAGGCATAAACATGAATGCAGATGTAAATAAAGATATTTATAATTGAGTGCTAAACTAGGAATTAGTTTTTGAAAACTATAGGGAATCAGAACATGGAGTCTAGGGCTATAAAAGAAGGTTCACAGAGAAGATATAATTTGAGCTGAACCTGGAAAATCAGGGACATGAGGGAAGAAGTAGGTCTAGGTCATTTAAGTGAAATTCACAGCATTGTCAAAAACCAGGGAAGATAATGATTAAACCATATTTTAAGTCAGTCAGCCTAGCAAAAGCAAAGATTTTGTTCTAGGAAATAGTCTAGAAAATCCTCTTATGGTCAGCTTGGTGAAGATCTCGAATGCCTAGACAAGATATTAGAATAACATAGAGATGCTAGGGAACCTTTAAAGAATTTGGAGCATCATATTGAAAATAGTATTAATAACTTGCTAGTTGGATCAGTTAGAATCAAGGGAAGATTCTATGGTGCTGGAAGCTGGAAGAGAGTCAGTGGAGGAGAGGGGATGGAAACTGGGCAGTAGAAGGAATGGATTTGTAAGATCAGGTAGAGAAGTTAACATTGAAAAGGAGGAACTAATTTTTGTAAAAATAGGAAAGGACTATATGTATTGTATAATAAAAGAGAAATATTTTAGGAAGAAGAACAATTGAAAAGCTTATATCACACAGTTAAAAATGATAGTATAAAATTCTTTGTCTATAGAAAGGACAACTGGCTTGGTATTGGAAAGTTGAAGAAAATGGAGAAATATGTAACATAGGATCTCATGGGAAAACAGTGAAATTAAGTTAAAAGATCTTTGAGCAGTATTGACCTACTTGGAATCATGAAAAACCAGGCTTGGTTCATGTGATAGTATTCAAAGAGCTCATGATAGTACAGGGTTAGAAAAACACTGGTATAGTTTGGAAACAGTAATTCTTATGACAACTACTTGATGTAACCACAATTGTTTTGTACCCTTTGACCAAGAATAAGTGAAGTTATTTTCTGGTTCAAATATCAATATGGTAAGGATTAACTTCAGTAATGAACGGTAATTGGTAGAATTCTACATCTGAAGGGAAACAAGCACAATGAAGGTATAATTTAATTCATCAGTGTAAGCAGAAACTTCATGATGGTTTATTGCTAATTATTGCTACTGAGTTTCTTCATATTTTCTATTGTCAGCAGCTCATTAAAATAAGTTATGTCATCATTTATTTTAATCTCTATTAGGAATACTTAATAGTTTAAATTTTATCCTCTTATTTCATGTACTATGTCATTGAGGGATAAACAATATCATTTTATTCAGAGTTCAGTTCCAGTCAGTTGCTTTTCAATTAATAGAGACCTTCTTGGTTATTGACTTTAAATATTTGTTGATTTGAAAAAAATGTCAAGCATTCATGCAGAGAACCCCTAAATAATTGTGCCACTATCTGGCCTTTAAACAATGGAATTATAATTATGGAAGGGAAATGGGGACATTGCTCCTGAGATCAAGGATCACTGGTTTTTATTCTGAAAGAATTGATTAAAACTCAGTTTTAAGCGCAGTAATTATAGTAAATACTAAGGAGATACTTAAGAATTCAAATATCAAGTTTTACTTTTTAAAAATCAGTTAGAAATATTCCACAGTGACTTTTTCTTCCCTGAAATATGTTCTGCCTGGACAGGTCGAATGAACAGGTTTAAGACCACCACATGCACGATTTTTCTAAGATTAATCAACTACACCCAGCTGTAAAGTGCCCATGAAGCAAATGAAGCAGCTGTATAGCACAGTATCAAAGTTTTGTATTTGTTGTTTAGCCTTTTATTTTACCCAGGCCTGTAGTTGCATCTCCTAAGTGTGTGAAAGATTTATTGAAGTTTAGAAGTCTCTTCAAACCTCTGAAGTAGTTCAGGTTTTTCCCTGAAATGATGATGGTAGAGGGGGTGTAGTGAATTATCCAAGTAGATTTCTCTTTGAATTGAATTAATATTTTGTCTAGAATCAAAGTCAGATGTATGGTGATAGATTGCCTTTTAGCTTGATCTAACTGTTCAAAATAGCTTATTACTTTCTTCATTAGATATCATTATTTTTGAATAATGTCTGAGATAATGTTACACCATAATTATTTTAATCATCTAAATAGCAGCTTACTCTTGAGGGGTCTGAGTTGTACTATAAGAGCATTATATACCTAATATCCACATGTAATTAATTAAAAAATATTGTCATTGTTCCATTCAATAATTAGTGTATTGACAATAACTGGATAAAAATGCAATGAAGAGCTCATAACAGCCTTTTCTTAAATCTTGGGTATCCATTCCCATATTTTCTACTGGAAAATCTTGCTACAATCAGAAGATATGGTTAACTTTGAGAATTCACAGTGGGAAAACAGTGCCATATAATATCATCTCTTTGCCTTGCTCACATAATACATTAGTATTTATAGTACAACTAGGCTTAGATAGAGCTTTAGTTAAAGGGAGGGCCAAAAGGGAGGCAATTGCTCTGTCTCTACTTACTTCAGTATCACTCTATTAGCCAGGTATGTCTCAAACTTCATCTAGCTCAGTGGTTCTCAACCTTCTGGTCCTTTAAATACAGTTCCTCATGTTGTGACCCAACCATAAAATTATTTTCGTTGCTACATCATAACTGTAATGTTGCTACTGTTATGAATCGTAATGTAAATATCTGATATGCAGGATGGTCTTAGGCGACCCCTGTGAAAGGTCCTTTGACCGCCAAAGGGTTCGCAACCCACAGGTTGAGAACCGCTGATCTAGCTGATTGTTTATTAAAAGATTAAAACATAGTATGTGTGAAGTATTTAAAGTGTTTTTTTTTATTTGTATTGACTCCAAGTGGAGTTAGTATGCCAGTTAATGACTTATTAAATAATAATAATGTCATTATTTTATAATGACAGCATATTTTGGAACAGTTATGGCATCCACCTTACACTGTTTATGTCGGTGACTAGCTTTTGGTTGCTGCAAAATGGTAAAAACCAAAATACTCCCATTGAATACTGAGCTGCTATTTAAGGACGTGCCAAAAGAGGAGATACAAACTAAGTTTGAACATACTGACTTCATCATGGATTATATTCAAATATATGAAACATCATGAGTTTTACATAATTCATGTTCACACATTATAAACTTTAGTCTAAACCCATAATAAATATGAATTATTAATTGCAATATCTGCAAAGGAGTGACTAGATATACTGTTTTTCTTGTTTGTTTGCTTTTTGGCTATGGCCAGCAAATTATAATGGTTAGGCATTTGTGGAAAATAACGTTTAAATTATTTGTTACTTTGCTAAATAATCAAATATTTATTAAACACATACTTTGTGCCAGATTCTGCACTAGTCTTTGGAAATTGACTAAAACTAAAAAGGTCTCTGCTCTGATAGGGTCTGTATTCTAGTCAGTATAGACCTCCAGTAAACAAAAAGAACAGATCAATATGTAACAAGTTAGAGGGTAATAAATGCTATGAAGAAAAATAAAGAAAGGTAAGGAAGTAAGAATGATGAAAGGTGGTAGTGCTATTTAAATTGGTTGTTTAGTTACAGACTTTTTGAGCAGACATGTAAATAGGTGAGGTGACAAATAAGGTGGATTTCAGAAAGAGGTATATTCAGGCTAAGGAAACAGTAAGTGCAAAGTCCCTATCACTTTTTTTTTACTTTTTAATTTAAAATTTTAATTAAAACATTTTTATTTTTTTCTTAGTTTTTATTTTTACTTTGGATATTCCAGGAGCAGCAAGGAGGCCATGATAGCCAGAATACAGACATTGAGGGAGATAATAGTAGAAAATGAGATCAGAGAGGGTATCAGACACTATAAGAGGACTTGGTTTTGAAGACTACATCTGAATGAATATTAATTTTGTTCTAATATATACTACCTGGGGGTTGGCAGGCTGAGGTTATTTTTTATGTTTTGGCTTATTGATTTTATTAAATTTATTGGGCTGACTGGTTAAAAAGACTGAATTTAGGAGGAAGGTGGAAAAAGTGAGAAATCTGAACATTGTAATAAATAGGTCAAACTTTTTTAGTTGTGTGGGTGGGAATGATATGTCATTATTTGGAATGGTGGTTCT